GGCTGTAGGGATGGCCATTTGAGAACAGAAATAATTTGTGCAAAGTTGTGTAGAGCCTTTCTAAACACATGACTGGCACAAACCTAGCTGTCACTAGTGTTCCTGGGAAGAAACAACTGGTGGAATATCTTTACTGGATTACCACCTATCTAAAAAACCCAAACAAAATAAAATAAAACTAGTTAAGAGAGGACAATCCATGGGTTCTCCTGAATTTATGTTACTTGTATTCACAATCCTCCAAGTCATCCAAGAATGTTAGCTCAGCATACCTCAATTACGTATTTATTGCTCTGCTTTACAACTACTAAACTGAGTTCAGTGGAGAGCACTAACAGTATTATATGTAGCTCATCAGACAGAACTGACGCTTCCAGTAAAAAAAGATATCAAGAGGCAGATGTAGCAATAAAAGTAATTAATTTTAAGAGTAGGACACTTAACATTGATTCTACAGATTACTGCAATTCTCACTTTCAGCTGGCCAGCCACCATATTCAGAGTATAACTATCAGGAGCAGGCTAATGGTCACTGTGTCAAATTTTTTTCTAAATGGAAGCTTATCCCCATAGACAGCAGTCCCACGAACTGCATCACATTGACCCACCAGTGTTTCATCTCCTGGAGCTTTCTCAGTGACTGACACTTTCTCTAAGGAAACTTCTAAAATGGAAATTCAGTTAATTCCAGCTGTAGTTATTTCCTTTTCTAGGAGGAGATATACAATTCCTTCATGTTGGAAGCCCACTCACACTGTTGCTCACACAGCTGGCAGAGGGCTGGATCTGCTGGTTGTGACAGCATGGAACTGGACTCCAGTGGGCTACCGATGGGTGGAAGCCTCATTAACACATCTCTCAGACTTCACCTTTCAGGCTTTGTTGCTGTCAAATATATGAATGAATGAAGTTCACGGTCAGGTCATTTGAATTTAGATTGCAGAAAACCATTGTTCAAGAAAAGCAGGTTTCCTTGTCCACATCATATTCTGGATTTCATGGCACCCATGAAACAAAAAGAACTGTATCTCAGGATCTATTTCTACAGCCCAAATATTCCATACCAGCCGAAGCTCTGACAGAAGAGTTAGATCCTATGATAAGAACTCGGTTTGAAGCACTGCACTGTAGAAATAGGTAGAACAACATCAGGTGAAGCGCCATGGGTTTCTGCTCCAGCCTGGAAATATAGGAGTAGGCAAATGTCCCTAGAGGCATGAACAGGTCACAGGGTGTGGAGTTATTACTAGAATTACTGGGGAAAAATTATTGAGACTAAAGTTATATCCACATCCTAGGAGAAGATGTAATCCTAAGGAAACTTCCAGGGTGGAATGTGGTTAGCATGTAAGGAATCTGTTACCCGAGCAAGATGGCCTGCAACCTTAGTTGTTGGCAGCACTAGGGAAGCTTGTTGCACTGACCTTAGGAGAAATAGAACGGAGGGTGGAGCAGAGTAGAGACACCACAGCCAGGCTCTGTTGTAAATCATTGCAAGTATGCAAAGTTAATGGTACCCTGTAGCTGATAAACCGCATAGCATCTGCCACATAAGAGATATATTGGTCGCTGAACGAGCAATTGCTTAATTTTATGGTAAAATCGTGTCCTGTGGATGAACTTTGCTCATTATAATAAAAAACACCTCCACCCCAAAAGCTACCCATATCCAAGGTACGACCACCCCTCACTGAGCATGCGCTCTACATTTTTCTACTCACCTGTACCACTGCGGACATTTCTTATTCCTCAGGTTCAAGAAAGAGAAATTCTACCTGGGGTGAAGGCAAACAAAGACTAAGCAGCTGAGTAAGGGCATGGAGGGCCTACAGAATAAGAAGATGACTAGCAGGAGCAAGACAAAGGCTGAGAGGGCTGACATCAGTTTCAAGAAAGGTAGCAAGGATGAAGTCCAATGAAGAAAAAGAGCTACTGAAGTGCAAGGAAAATGATGGTCAAGAACACAAAACAATTCAGTGTTTCTTTCCAAAAGGAAGACCTCACCATCAACAGTGTAGTAGCAAATGTCCCTTGGTGCATTGGGAAGGAATGGTGAGGAAATCATGCATGCTCTCTACATCCCTGCAGAGTTCATGCAGAAAGAACCAAAACCCTGTCTTTCAGCTCTGGCATCACCACAGTCAGATGAACATCTGTGGTAGAAATGCCCTTATTTACATAGTCTGAATGTACATACTAATTTTGTACCCAACGTAGAAAATTGCAAGAATAGTACATTCCTTCATCTTTCAAGACTCAAAATACTAAAGGAATAAGAGATTTACCAAGCTTTTGGTTAAACTTTGAACATTTCCACATGAATGGAGGTAGACAGCTCTCAGAAAGATTAAAGTCACCAGTGATCTCTGAAAGTTTTACCATGTGACTGGAGCACATTTTGTATGCCATATCCGAGTCTTGTGCTTTAACGTGTTTCCAAGGGAAACAGCTCAGGCATTTCTACCGCTGAGTACAAGGAGAAAAAAAAATCCACAGGAAAATGAACATGTATTGCTCACATCAAATGGTTTGTAACCATTTAGTTCTTGAGCACCTCCTGCTCCAGACTGAGGGCTTGATCTTAAAGCCCAGATCTTTGGTCCCCTAGTGTCAGAGACATGGGGTTTGACATCCTGTGGAGATCCAGCTAAACTGGATAAACACAGAAGACTTTCAAAATACAAAGTTTCCGTGTGCTTTTTGCAAATGTGTTTAAGTGGACAAATCATCTCAAGATGATGCACAGCTCTCACCCCCATCAGAAGGTACATGCCTCCTTGCTACAAAGTGACAGAGCCAATGCCCAGGCTGGGACATGGCAGCCCATTCCATCCCTTCTCCAGTGCAGGGCTGGGAAGAAATTTCATCAATTTCCTTAGCATGTACTGGTAGGGAAAGGAGGAGAGAGCAACAGGAGTCAAATCAAATCAAATTGAATCACAGAGCTGAGCTGGAAGGGATGAACACTGAGTCCAACTGCCTGACCACTTCAGGGCTGACCAAACTAAAAAGCATAGTTGCTAAAAGGCAAGGGCATTTTCCAAATGCCTCTTTAACACTGATAGGCTTGGGGTATGGACCACCTCTCTTGGAAGCCTGTTGCAGCAGGGTTTGATCACCCTCTGGGTAAAGAAATGTTTCCTTATGTCAAGTCTGAACTTCCTCTGAGGGACATAGCTCTGAGCCGTTCCCACATGACCTGGCACTGGGTCCCAGGGAAAAGAGGGACCTTTTTCCCCTTCCCCTCCTCAGAAAGCTGTAGAGAGCAGTGAGGTTGCCCCTCATCCTCCTTCTCTCCTAACATGAAAAACTCAATGTCCTGAGCTGCTCCTCACAGGAGCCCTTTCACCAGCTTTAGTGTCTTCCTCTGGATGCATTCAAGGACCTTCACAACCTTTCGAAATTGTGGGGCCCAGAACCACACACAATACTCATGGTGAGGCCACACCAACACCAAATACAGCAGGATAATCACCTCTTTTGAGTGGCTGGTGATGCTGTATTTGATGTATCCCAGAACACGGTTTGCCCTCTGGGCTGCTCAGGCACACACTGCTGACTGATACTGAGCCTGTTGCCAACCACCAACCCCAGACCCCTTTCTGCTGGACTGCTCTCCAGCCAATCCTCTCCCAGTTTAGACTTGTGCCTGCTATTACTCCTTCTTCGGTGCTCTAATCTATCCAGATCAATTTGGTATCATCAGCAAACTCACTAATGGTGCATTCAACTGTTGCATCCAAATCACTGATAAATGTACTGAACAGAATTTGACCTAGAACTGATCCCTGATCCCCCACAAGGGACTGGTCACCAGCCAGATATAGCCCCATTCACTGAAACCCTTGAGCTCTGCCCTTCAGCCAGTTCTTCACCCAGTACACCATGAACCTGCTCATCCCACAGCTGGACAACTTGTCCCACAATACCAAAAGCCTTGCAAAAACCCAGAAAAACTACATCCACCACTTTCCCTTCATGCCTCAGGTAGGTGACCTTATTATAAAAGATACTAAATTACTTAAACAGGACTTTTTCTATATGAAACCCACATTGACCGTGACTGATGATTGCAGTGTTCTTGAAAGGTAGTGATAGGACAAGGCGTAACAGTTTTAAATGGAAAGATTTAGATATGAGGAAGGAACTGTGCACTGTCAGGGTGGTGAAACACTGGAAGAGATTGCCCAGAGAAGCTGCGGATGCCCCATGCCTGGAAGTGTTCAAGGCCAGGTTGGATGGACTCTGGTCTAGTGGAAGGTGTCCTTGCCTATGGCATGAGGGGTTGGGACTAGAAGATCTTTAAGATCCCTTCCAACTCAAACCATTCTGCGATTCTACTAGAGTGTAACCTCCCCTGTGTTGTCTTTCTTTACTAAAGGAATTAAATTTTCTGTATTTCTCATAGAATTCCATTTTACTGCTTTGTTCATTATAATTTCTTTGAAGCTTCTGCCCTTCTGAATTTACACAGTCATGCTGTTATTTTTAAGTGCTTGAGTCAGAAAGCTTTATTCTCACTTTTTATATAATCTCCTATTCATTTTCAGATCTCAAACAGTTACTGGGGCATTCTTACCTGCTGTTTTTTCTCGAGTTTTTGAGTTGTTAACACATTTTTTAAGTCACAGTCAATGCTTTGCCTGATTTTACCCAAGGGATGAGCAGTTCTCCATTCTCTTCTGGCTGCAATTTCCCTTGCACAACAGTAATTTTCTAAATTTATTTTCTTTCGGATTTGTAACTTTACTGACCATAATCCCAATGAGTTTCACCTTGTAGAAAGAGTTCCCTCCATTAGACTGGGTCCTCTAGAGAATACCCTGTCCTGGTCTTTGTGGGCTGAAGCCTGAACAGCACTGTCATTATTTTGCTTCCTTCTTCCCTCCTGACCTCAGAATGACACCATCACTTTGTGATAATTTTTATCCAAGTCACTCAAAAGAAAAAGGCATTTTCTTGCAATATAGAAATTATAATTTTATTGGAAATAATCAGCACAACTGCAAGAAGTTTTACCTCAGTGCTGCAATTGGTGTATTTTATTATAAAACTGCTCTCTTGTTCAAAGTTCCACAACTGTAGCAGCTTGAAAGGTGCTTAACAGAATGCCACAAATGGCATTTTTGGTTTTCTTACATATGGAAGTGGTAAACAGGTAAACAACCTTTCAGTATCTATGGCAGTCTTTTTCTTTTGCTATTGGTATCCTCCATTTTGAAGGGAGTGGCTTTTTCACTTCATTTTAGTTTATCAGCAGGATGACTTAAATGTTTGCCGTCATCCATCTCCAATTCCTTTACCTCTTCCTCCAACTCATAGTCTGAGACCGATTCAGTGTTATCATCCCAGTAATCAGCGTCATATTTGTCCAGTAAGTATTTCTGTGGTGTAATGTCGTCATCATCAGGATTCTTTGGTTTTCTCTTTTTCATTTTCTTCCGAATCTTAGAAAGCTGCTGCTCCTGCTCTTCTGTCCAGGGAATACTTTCTATATGTCTTGACACTTTCAGTCTTTTATAGTCCATTATCTGTTTATTCAGCAGTTCATGGTCAATACCAAACAGATTAGACCGCATGGGTGGCTCTGAAGATTGAGTTGCTGAAGAGAACAGTTTACTGTGAAAAAGAAAACAAATATTGGGGGGTTTCTCTCTGTGCATATTTCAAGGGGTAATTTTGACAACTTGAGTAATATGGAAATAAACTGGAGTTTTCAGTTTGACTTTATAAATTCCCTGTGTTCAGCACTGTGCTACCCACGTTAAGAAGGAAGAGATACCATTGTATCATATGTCCGAGGACAGTCTGTGTATAAGCCTGTCAACAGATTTAATGGGGGAAAGCCATTAAAACAATAACATTCCAGATGAAACTGCTTGTCTCTTGAAAGAGGGGTACACAGGTAACAGAGTGAACACTGGACCTGGGAGCCCCAAGGAATTTAAGACTTCTCCCGAGCTCTTCCAAGAAGTAAGAAGCAGCAGCCTGTGCCCAAAAGACATCAGACCCATGTATATATGACACCTTATGCTGGACTTTCCACAAGACACAGAGGAAGATGTTAGGTGCCATGTGGGAAATCTGTCAGCAATGACTTCCCACTGGAAGCTATTTCTGATTTGCCCCTGATGAACCATCCTGTGAGACGCCAGGGCCCAGAAGGCATTTCTACCAACAGACTGCAGCACCCAAGTACAAAAGCTGTTGGCTTTGAGAGCATCCAGTCCACGAAATCACTATTCCAATAGACTGTTTAGCCCTATCTCTCAATAGCCAAAAATCCCTCACAGAAGAATGCTAAATTAACTTAGGGAGATTAGTCAGTAAACTTGTAACTCACCAAACTTATATCAGAAAAAAATGGCCAAGTAGAGGAGCACTGGTGGTCTTATGAGAAAATTACCAGCAAGCAACAAATATTACTGCTGCAAAGCATTTTTTTTAAATTTGATTATCATAAACAACATCAAGTCTTGGAATCTTAGAAATTCTACATTTATTTCCCTCACAAAAATCAAGATATTAATACCAGAACAAGTATTGGGTCTGCAAGTAACAAATCTGATGACTATGTCACTCAAGGTATAGACATGAAACACAGCTGATTTCTAAGACTGTGTTCTGATACCACCTTATGGGTGCCTCTGAAAGAATACACACTGTGCTGTTACAAGTGACAATTCAGTCATTCTCCACAGTTCTACAGAGGTTCGCTTATATGTAATAAAATAGACCTTGCTTTTCCATATTTTGCAAAGCTGTGGTCAGACCCGTGTACAAGAACCAATGACAAAATAGCCTATGAAAATGTGTCTACACTAAAATATGGAAGTAAATCAGAGCATACATAATACGAAATATTTTCCCTTAATTTTAATGAATGGGTGTAACTTCGGTAAAGAAACTTAAGTCGCAAAATAAAATGTCGTCCTCTACATTTAAGTTCTGGGATGATTACATACTAGTTTTGTCCTTGGCTATTCTATAGTCTCTTACATAAAAAAAAAAATCAATTAAAAAAATCTTATCTCTTCAAAAGATGAGATACTTTTCTGGTAAGGTCTTCCAAACAGACTCTCTCTTCTACTTTTTATTTCTTCATAACATCATTTGCTGAACTCTGAGATAATAAAAACGTACAAATCTAATTAAAATATACTTTCTGTCATGTCAAATGATACCCAATTTAAGTCGGCCAACAAAGATGAAAATGGGCACTTGTACAATTCTGATTCAAAAAGGCCCACCTTGAATCATTTTCAAATATTTCTTCTTCTTCTTCAGGAGGTCCAAAATCAGCAATTGCCAATAAGTCCTCAATCTGTAAACACATGAAGGCAACACATTTTAAAGATCCTATATTAAATCTACTTTATGCACACCTGAAAGAAACAGATAAGCACGTAGCAGCAAATATTTGATTTTCTACATGTTTGAAATATTTAGCAAAACCATTTTAAAATAGCCTCTTCCATCATTCCAATAAGCATGGAACAGCTTCCACTCTTTGCCTGGGAAGTTTGTGTCAAATAGTGTAATGTATCCAGGGATTCCTAGGAAGTTTTTTGCCTTGTACATTATAAACAATTGGCTAGGGATTGTGTGACATGTAATTTTTGGTTTATTTGTTCTCTTACTTCAGTCTTGTGAATCCTTTTTCATAACATCCTTACATTGAGATTTTTTTTCATCTCTTCCCACTTTCTGCAAGTTTGCATTTCTATCACACGTAATTATGGAGTTCCAACTCCCTTTTAACATGGCACCTATCCAGTAAATGCTACAAATCTAGTATATTCAGTGCTTACAGACTGTACATCATTGTGAAAATTTGGTCTCATCTGAAATTTTTATTGCAACTTTTCTTTACATTAATTCCCTTCTAATTCAGTGCATTATTCTAGGAGTTTAATTGGATGGTCTTTCCTTGACTTCCGAAACTTAAAAATCAGGTTCAATTACATTATTTCAAGCCCTGTTATTTGAATCTGTGGTTGATATAAATCTGATGAATTGCAAAGTAGGAGAAGATGATCCATCTAAGTGCTTTCCAGTGTCATTCCCTGACAGAAGGAATATAAGGAGAGTTTATACTTGTCTTGTGTGAAACCCAGAATTTTTTTGACCACAGAAAGTTCAAGCAGTTTCACTGCATTTCTAGAGAGTCTAAAGCTCTTGCTATTCTTTCCAGCCCTGCTCACACACACTGCAGGAGCCCATAAGTCACTAACAGTAATTAATTGGTTGTAATAGTAACATATGTAAGAATAGGGCACTTCAGGGCACAGAAATGTGAACACGTTCTTTTCAACTTCTATTCACATCAACAGCTTGAGGAGACTTTTTCATTAAATTCTACTCATTGATGTCATTCTTCTCTTCTGGAAATTTCACTATTTAAGAGATCTCGCTTCACAGTCCTAATGACAGCAAATTTCTAGGAAACATCATTGTTCTAGTAATATTTCGAGTAGTTAAAACTATCAACACCTTGATAGAAAATGTGAAATAGTAAAGATAATTTTAAAAGCGAAGAAAAAAATGTCGTATGAGTAAGCTTACATCCCCCATGTAAAGATCTGCACTTCCCTAAAAACATTTTAACAATTCACAGATGGAAAAAGATTGGGGGAAAAAAATAAAAATAAACAAGTCACTGGTTAGATTCACTGGAATTTTAAATCACGTAACATTTAAAATGTGGAAGAAAGCTCTTCCAACCTCATTTCTATTATCATGTACATCAGGCAACCCTATACTATTCCTTAAAAAGGTAATTAAATTTTTTAGAATTTCTTTATTGACCTAATGATACAACCTACAATTCTTTTACATTGTATAGAAGCCTCAACCTTACTAAAGATTGTTTGTTAAAGTGCTTTGGAACTTGAAGAAGAAAGGGTACAGATAAAGAGTGATTTTGAATATAGATTGGTAGAGGAATTGAATGATCAGCTCTCTCCTAAGTCATCATATTTGTACACTGAGTCAAAGAATAGAATTACCTCTTTCACAGCTGCAGCTTCTTTGTCTTTTATAAATATTATTGGGGGTGCATTTCCTAGAATTTGCTGACTCTTCAGAAGATACCTGGCAAAAATACAGCATTCACCAGTATGAGTATCAGTAGAGCATCTCCAAGACAAGTAAAATGTGTTAAATTAATTCTAGCAGTACTGCACACTAAAGATATGGTTTGCAAAACTTACAGTCTGATGGGTAGCTATTCAAGTTAGTGCTAAGCAATAGATCACTGCAGAATCCCAACTTTGAATGCATAACATACAAAAACTACCAGCTGCAGATCCCGCTGAGTATTGATGACATTAGTATTGATGATAATAGATTGTCTCTATCTATATGCACAAGTCTTTTCCCCACTTCATTTGGCATCCTTATCCCCACTGTATGGGTGAGAGCAGTGGGGGATAGAGTCCTCAGAGCAGAGCAAGACAACTAGTCCTACACGCTAGCTGCAGAAAGGACTGACAGGGCTCCCCTTGTCTTCTTCCCAGCCAGCAACTTTCCTTTTCAAAAAGTGGAAGCTGTTGGGAGTAGAAAAGAGCATCGTGCTGGAGCAGGAATTACATAGCCTAGGGAAACAGGTGGAAAGTAAAAGGGTTTACAAGTATGCTCCTATGTCACCTTCCACATGGAGTTAAATCCTGAACTTCCAACCCACTGGCTTGATAGCAGAGGGGAAGCAAGAAAGAGGGAGAGACAAAAATCTCAATAATACCCTGAAAACTTCCTGGACACTGGACTCTGTGCTGAAAAATGGGTAAAAGCATCACAATACATGGTAGCATCCTGAATTTTTTTTTTTAATTGGTGCTGTGAAGAATTTCTGTAACATTAGTCACCCCTTCTGGAGGTCTAAATTGTCCCTAGCAATCAGAATTGCTCAATGAATCTGTAAGGAGATACTTGGAATTGCCAGTCTGTTGTGCAGCATGCCATTCTGGCCTTCTGTCACTCAGACCATGTCCAGCCCACCACCTCTAGTACAACGGAGTGAAACCTCATCCATACTCCTTTTGATTTCTGCTCAGCCCACTCCAGTCCTGGAAAAGCACAGAAGCCAAATAAGCCAGCTGTGCTCTAGCAAGAGAATAAGCAGCAGGTCTGTCGCAGCCACCCTTCCCTGTGAGGCTCATCACAGGAGATGCTCTTACTCTAAGTATCTAGAAACCTTAAGAATCCCAATAGGTCAGATATAGACTGTTAGAAATCCTTAAGAAATGGCACTAGTCCATGGCTATGAATTTATGCAGCAGCCTGTTTATCCCACAGCAGTACCGTATACGTGGAGCGCTCTTCTGCAGCACACTTTCCACATAGCTTTCTTTCTCCATAGTAGCAGCAGGATTCCAGTACACACGACATGCTGAAAAGTTTGATGACAGGGACACCTGTAAAAAGGCAAATATATCTTTAAAATTATATATACACACACACACACACTTCATGTACAATGAAGTCTCTGATGGATTGCAGAAAGCCTACTAGAAAATTTCTTCTGATAACAGAAGTAATGATATTGTACCAGAATCAGCTCAGGAGTAAATCAGGACTGACCTACTCCCTGCCATGTCCCAGTGCAGCAGTTATAAAATCTGAATTATATTCGGAAGGAGGTTGTTTCTTTCTCTCTCTCATGTTATAAATTGTTTTGGTTACAGCAGTGCTTCCTGAGAATGCTGTGGCTTGCCCACACTAGCCAGTATTTTTATGTGCAGACATGCAATCCAAGTTAGACAAGCAACTCTCAAAGCCCTAAGAGACAGAAATATTATATGAAGGGTACTGCACAAATAGAGCCAAAAGACTCATCTTGCCCATGTAATTTTAATCACTTGCCTGAAAATGGAACAAATTCAGCTGGCAACAACATCTATTTCAGTCACAAATAACAAACTTTTTCTTATAGATGCAGCTATGATGCGCAATTTTTTTCCCATCCTTCTAATAAGTCCATCATGTTTTAAGCCAAAAACTAGTATAATTTAGTCTTTACAGAACAGCATATGTGGAAGATAAAAACTACAGACAACAAACAAGAATGCGGAAACTGACTTAGTTCCTGAATCAGAGGTTTAACATCCCTTTCAAACCCACAAATTACAGCATTAGCTACAATTAGGTACAAATCCCAAATCTTTCTCGAATCTTGCTTTACAATGACATTTTCTTATGCTTGCCTTTTTTCTGAACTAAGCTCATCCCTCACTTAGGTTTTCTGCCTGTAATATTGCTGGTGAGTGACACAAGGAGGTAACAACTCTCACACAGCTACAAGAAGAAAAGACTCTTGGAAAGATACTCTGGTAAAACCAGACTTCTTATGAAAAGTCAAGGCAAAGAGTTTATGTCTGAGTAACAGGGAAAAAAAAGTCATACCAGGAGAATAACCATTTAGTTTGCCTAAGTTGTATTTGCACTAGAGTGGCAGAAGTCTACTAAGCCAAGTACAACAGTGACAAAGCTCTCCCAGTGTGTACGCCAGAGCCTGATCTGGCTGCATTCTGCCACATTAGAAGCGATGCAGTAAAACTCCCCCTGCACACATCACAACACCCAGGGGAGCTCCTTTGGCACACCATGCTGACCTCATGGCACAGCCAGAGTGGCTCAACACAAGATGTAGCTTTTGCACTTGCCTTGCAGATTTCCAGCTTGAGATCATAAAATTCTTGACTGACTTCACAGGTAGTCACCATCTGTGACATAGCTTTATGAATAAGACCATTCAAGACTCTGCAGCGTATGTTATCTTCTCTCCTAGTTTTTGTCTGCTCATTTTTCATTAGGGTGTCCAACTTGGTTGGTTTATACATCTTAAAAAATGAAACAACACATTAATCAGTAGTTACACACTTGTACTAGGTAACTATATACAGTTCTATGCAGTCTACTAAGTATGCTCTTAGAATGTCATTATTGCAGCTGTGATGGTTTTATATAGGTATCAAGTGTTTCAAAAAAGAATATTTCTGTTCATAAAATCTCTGACCTTCGTGTCTTACAGTCTAAGTTTCTTAAGTTTCCTTACTATTTTGTAGCAAGTTATACAGGTTAATAAATCTGTTTTCTAAAATACAGCATGTATTGACTGAAAAGCATTGCTTGTTTGAAAAACAAACATTAAAAAACTTTTTCGCTAAACTAAGCTTGTAGAAGTTTTAACATAGATCAGTTCTCTGCAATGTACTCAAGAGCATGCAAAAGAGCATTGATGCTGGCACAGACGAAAAATCAATACAGAGGAAGAAACAGCCATGGGGAGCCAAACTGCTTCTCTGGATGGCAATCCTGGCATGTCGCAGTGAAACTGGAGCACCAGTGTACATTCATGAAATTCTGCCATTTCTCCCTCAGAAAATGCTTTTCCCAAGGTTAGAATCAATGGCAGAACAACAAGTTTTTTTCCTACTGGAACATAATATCTTAAGAGCTTGCACTTACCATTTTAGATCCCAGGGTAGGGCTGTCATACCAAAATTTCTTTCTTTTGGAAAAAGGAAAGGAAATCAGTTTTATCTTTCAGCAGCTCAGAGAAACAATGTATTCTCTGTGCAATTAAAATGCCACCTCCCTGAAGGCACACACCACCACCTAGGTTTCCATGCCCACAAGTAGTTTTCCCCCCAGCTGGGGTGCAGTAGCAATGCTTCCCATGCACATAGACAGCAGGAGGAGGAGGGGGAAAGAATAAAGTTTCTTCAGTCATAGAACCATTAAGGTTGGAGAGTCATAGAACCATTAAGGTTGGAAAATATCACTAAGATCATTGAGTCCCACCATTGACCCAGCACTGCCAAATCATGCCTCCAAGCACCACATGTACACGTTCTTTGAACGCTTCCAGGGACGGTTATTCCACCACTTTCCTGGGGAGCCTATTCCATTGCTTGACCTTTCTTCCCTTTCAGTGAAGAAATTTTTCCTAATATCTAATCTAAACCTCCCTCAGTGCAATTTGAGGCCATTTCCTCTTGTCCTGTTGCTTGTAACCGGGGAGACCAATCCCCAACTGCCTAAAACGTCCTTTCACATAGTTGCAGAAAGCAATAATGTCCCCCCAGCCTCCTTTTCTCCAGGCTAAACGCCCCCAGCTCCCTCAGCTCATCCTCATCAGACTTGTGCTCCAGACCGCCCAACAACTTCCTTGCCCTTCTCTGGACACGCTCCAGCACCTCTATGTCTTTCATGTAGTGAGGGGCCGAAAAATGAACACAGGATTCGAGGTCCGGCCTCACCCGTGCCACCGTGTACAGGGGGCAGTCACTGCCCGGGTCCTGCTGATACAGCTGATACAGGCCAGGATGCCATTGCCCTTCTCGGCCACCCGGGCACACTGCTGGCTCATGTTCAGCCGCTGCCGACCAAATGACATCGGGGGTGACTTGGCACAACACCGAAGCACCGATATCAGAAGAGCCCCGCGGCACTGGAGGCGGTGCCCGTAGCGCGGCTCGGGGTGGGAGGTTCTCCTTCGTGCTACCGGGGACACCACAGCCCCTCTTACAGCCCTTGTCCCAGCGCCCACAAACCACCCCGCCAAGGCACGGCCCTGCCCGGCCCGGCAGGAGGGCCCCGCCGCCCGCCGGCCCCGCACCTACTTGTTCTTGCGGAGCATTTTGCGCAGCAGCAGGTTCCTGGAGGCGCCCAGGGCGGCGGAGCCGTGCAGCGCCCGGCACCACCGCGGCATCGCCGCCGCCGCCCGGGCACCCCACATTCCGCCGCGGCGCCCGGCCCGGCCCGGCCCGGCCCGGCCCTACTGAGCTCCCGGCTCCGGCTCCCCCTGTCGGCGCGGCGGCCTGGGCCGGCCCCGGAGGGAGAGAGGGAAGGAGGGGGAGAGGCCGCGCCGCTCTCGGTCACGGGCCAAGCTGCTCTCGGTCACGGGCCAAGCTGAGGCCCGGGCAGGGGAAGGCTCGCACACACGCAGAGCCGAGCCCCGCGCCGGCGCAGCTGTGCACAGGCTCGGTGTCTGGAGAGGGAAAATGCACCCAAAGGTCAGGATTGCTGCTGGAGCGGCTGGAGCAGCCGCTCGAACGCGCCTGGCTGTGCCAGGCAGTTCCTCTAACTCGCGATTTACACGCTCCTTTAATTCGGTGTTGCATCCATGGGCAACAATTGTAGGGGGATGTGAGCAAAATAAATTACACTGGTGCAAGACTCTGGGGTTTTTCATTGAAGGTCACAACAAAATACTGCAGGTTTTCCAGACAGAATTGCTGTCTGTTATTTAAACAAATTAAACATTATATATTTTATCTGTATAATACTCATGGATTAATTAAATGAAAAGTGATCGAATTACTGTTTTGTCACGCCAGGATAACCACTAATGGCATTAATGCTAAGTGCAAGCCACGTTATGGCAACACTTCATGAGGGATAGGAAGACCGGCAATGCCCGCCTGTATGCTTTCTGTCATTTCCTCCATCATAATGCGGCGTGTCTTCTTGGTGGCACTTCCGATGTGTGGAGTTATTATGACATTCTTCAGCTTTAACAAAGGGTGATCCCTGGGAAAGGAAAAGAAATACCGAGCTAGGCACTCACAGCATATTCGTTATCTATTTCATCACCTCCGGGTAAGTCAGAGAAATATTTAAAATAATTATTAAAAGAAAAAGCCAAACAAAAACAATTACATGACCCAAGCATACTCAGAGCAGTTCAAAGTGCTGCCTAGGTTGGTGGGGTTTTATGGAATATATCCTCCAAATGAGTCAATGTGATTTTTGTTTGGCTGGGACAGAAGGATTGGGGACCTATTGCAGTCCTAGTGCACATACATCATATACTAACAAAATTATGCAACTTCTCATGTGCTCACAAAATTTTACTCAGTTTGAAACTCACACATACACTCATTTTATTTAAGTACATGTCCTACCTTGGCAAAGGTTCAGGATATGTCACATCCAGAGCAGCTGCCTTAATAACTTTGTTTTGAAGGGCTTCCACCAAAGCATCCTGATCCACTATCAGACCTGGGTTACAGTAAGAAGGTTATGTTTATTTTCATATTCTGTACTGTTCTCTTACCATCCTTTTAGTCACAGTGGTCAGGCAAACAGCAGGGCTAGCCATGATCACAATGCAGAAGCAGCAGCAGAGTGTGATGGAGTGGGAGGAGAAAGCTTGGGTATGTGCATCAGTGTTGAACAGCCAGGAATTAGCAGCATGAAATAAAGTATAGTGCCAGGCTTTATATCAGGCTGTGCCACCATAATGCTATTATTATTATTATTATTATTATTATTTATTATTAATGTGCAACAACACTGCATTAAATAAATAAAAAGCTTAAGTAGGAGGTTATGTAAGTATACGTGAGCTTCTAACACTCCAAGCTCACTAACATTTCAGAGGCTTGCTTGCTCGTTTTTATGGGAACACTCAAATGTTTTACTGCCATACGACCACAGGCATCTAAATAATCCAGTAATCAGAGAATTTGTGGAAAATTTTAGAGTGATGGACTCCATATTAGAGTTGGATTTTCCCAGGACTTGTCATGCCAGCAAACCTCAATGCAGTTTTGTTTATGTTGCACCTCACCTCTGCTAATATTAATGAGAGTAGCAGTGGGTTTCATCAGCTCCAGTTCCCTCTTCCCAATCAGTTTGTGTGTCTGTGGAGTTAGGTTCACGGCCAGCAACACAAAATCTGACTGCTGGAGCAAATCATCTATCTTTTTACAGTAAACAGCTCCAACGGCACTTTCTTCTTCTTTTTTTCTGTGGGGAAAAAGCCAAAATTTAACTTCAGTATGAAAGAAACAAGAAAAAGATCAAATCACCCTTAGAGAAAAAGTTTCTTAATTGTTTTCTTCACTCCACAGTGCAAAGCAGTTAGCTGGTTATCTGACTGAAATTCAGTAAAGACAAATGTTAAGCTGTTTCCCATAATACCAAGTGAACTGTACACAAACGTGCAGTTCTATATCTGTGGGGATGGAAAGTAAGAAATGAGTATCATGTAAATGCACTGAATAAATGATAAATTAATTTGTATCACAGCTTCTGGTTGTAACAAGGATTTTTTTTCCAATCCAAAAGCAAGACTGATGTATTACAAGAATTGCCTTCTCTGGGAAAAGTAACTCATGTGAAAATTGCTGAGGAAACCCACAAGACAGAGAAGAGGTTAAATCTTCAGAAATTTGTGTCAGCAGCAGCCTAATTGCTCTGTGCTTCAGTGCTGATCCACTGAAACCACAAGCACAGCAGGACCTGCTAGTGCATTTGATCTCTATCAGGACAAGTCTGGGGCATGAACTGCTTGGCTCTCCTCAGATTCCCACAAAAGAATAGGATGGGATGGGCCTGATGGGAGCAGAGGGGCAGAGAGCACAGCTAGAAGACAGTAAACAGACTGGCAAGTCTGGCTTTTTATCAGCTGGCTCTGGAAGGGTGAGATGTCTCTGCCTGAATCCCTGCTTCACCTAAGTTGCAGGACTTATGTCCTCCCAGACAGTTTTCTCCTTTCCTTAGTCTACTGTAGTGTCACCACCATGACAGGAAGGATCAGGGAGCCCCAACTCCCAGGGAGATCAGTGAGATATATCTCTCCCATTCCTTGCTGACTTTCTTTCTGTATAAAATGGGAAATTAATGACCATCCTGAAACAAGTGTATGTATTTTGGCACTTAAAATAAAGAGCTCAGTAAAAAGTGAAAGCACAGTGAAAGGTACAAATAACGTTTAAAAGCAGTGACAAAATAGAGTTGCCATGGAGCTGCAACCAGCTTTACCTCTGACTCCTGTTGTGATACAAAATCTTCATTTCAAAGGCTTTGGCTCTTTCAGCCACTTTGTAACCAATGGTGCCCATTCCCACAATCCCCAGGGTCGCTCCAGAAACCTCAGCCCCCAACCAGTCAGCAGGGAAATACTCTGTGTCAGGGGAGACTGCCATCTCATAACCTTGGAGGAGGAAAAGAAGGAATTATGTCATTTAAAGGATGTTCTGGCATCTGTTTTTTTGGTTTTTTTTTTCACTTTTTGTTGTAGGACAAGCAGAAGCACAGAAGCAGCAACAAAATGTCATCGTGTTTCTGGACAAAAAGTGAATAATGCTGCACTGTACATGACTGCTGACACTGATTTCTTGATTAGGATAGAAACATATCCAGCCTCTCTTTGGCAGACAAGGGAGGTAAGGCCAAAGCAGCAACCTCCCTTGGATGTACATCACACACCTTGCCCATCATCTCTCTCTGCCTGCAGTACAGATTATTGCACAACTGAAATGCACCTCAGCTTATTCATCAGCAGGGGTAATGAAAGTGGCAGTGCCATAGATGTCACTGACATTGTAAATACTGAATGGTGGAACTGATGGATCAGTTGTGGGATCATCAAGACTTTTAGGAAGGCCATCTGATGCCCAGCAACCTTGAAGATACATGAAGGTTGGCAAGGAAAAGAAACACAGAGTATGGTAGACAGATTTCTGGACAGCTTGTTTGCGATAACTCACATACACACACGGCAGCTTGGCAAAGACAGGTTTCAAGCCTCCTTGAAAATATCTCCTTTTAATCCCCTTTTATTATAACTTGAAAAGCAAAGCTGAAGTGAACAAATTCAATGAATAAGTGGCTGTGGGCTGAGGGAGAAGAGGCCTGAATTTAGAGCTGTCTGAAGAAAGAACACATCTACCTTGCTGTATATGCCTTTTTGGAAATGCAAGTTATTGTTAACAAGACAGATAACTTTTTCCTTGTCCTGCATTTTCCACATTTCTACTTTTAAGCTTACCTTTGCATCAGCACACACTTTCTGCAGGTTTTGAAGTCACTGTTTCTATAAAAACACTAAAACCATTTCAGTTATTACCTTCCACAAGTCTCCTGGAAGATGCCAGCATCAGAGCCATTCCCAGGTCTGCAGTGTCAGTGGAAACAATAAATGGAGTGTTGGACACTTTCACACCAAAGCTAGAGAGGAGGTTCAGGTCCAAGTGATCTATTCCCACTCCAGAACTTGCAACTATCCTCAAGTTCGGCAAGCTCTGGAGCAGCTCTTTGTTAACAACTGGTTTGTGATACCACATATAAATAGCTCTGATCTTTTTGCTGAGAAGTGTCTTATTTTCAAGATATTCTTTCATGGTGATGAGATGAAAATGTTTCTGCAGAAATCCAACATGGTCTTCATATACTCCATGCATCCCTCCTATACAGTCAATTAGCACATAAGGCAGTTCCTGACCCTCCATGCCCTACAAAAGCAACGAGAACCAAGAACCAAAAGGACATGGTCTTAAGCAATCCATTATAGCTTTTTTTAATTAAAAAACAGGAATTGATTGGCTTCATTACATGCTGTTTTCCCACTACGGAAGAGTTGGCTAAAGATAATCACTCCCACGTGCAGGAATTTTTCAGTTCTTACTGTGTTATTCAGAAGGATGTTCAATTTCTATATTATCTCGTTAATAATACAAGACAACATTGCTTCTGGCATGCCAACTATGCTGACACTTAGACAAATGAGTTATCAGGTGTTACTCCTGTTTAATATTCAATATTTGAAAGCCAAAGTCTTGATAATTTGAGAATGTGGCCATGTGAGTGGAAGGGTATCCTTTAACCCCCAAGTTCTGCCTTTGATTGCCACTTCTGCAACTATATTCAATAATTAGCTCATGAAAAAAAATCTCATTTAATGTTAACAGAGCTATAATTTGTCAACTACGAACTTTGGAATTACCGATTTACTTCCTGAACATAAGTTTACCCTTTCTTTTTTCAGTCTCCTTCAGTGTCCTGACAACTCTTCACTCTGCCGACTCCGGAAAGAACCAAGTCTGTGACCACAGGTTAAAGACGAGAAACCCGCAGCTGCCCATCAGCCCAAGGCAAGGCGCTCCCGCACCGCTCCCACACCGCCAGGTCAGCACCTCCCGCTCCTCCCCCGACCTCACGGAGAGTATTCCCGGTCCAGGGCCGGTCGAGCCCTGGCTCGAGGTGTTTGCAGCTGTCCCGGCCGGCCTGCCAGTGAGACTAAAGATACGAAGGAGCTGGAGCGGGAAGGGAAGGGCTCCGTCCGGTCCTTAACGACGGGGGGTCGCAGAGGACCGCGGGAGCCCCCCGTGCCCAACGCGCTCGGTGCTACCGACGGTGCCACCGACCCCCCCGTGGGGCCGCGGCCACCAGAGTCGAGGGACCTCGACGGCCACCTGGCAGAGGCGCTCCCGGTACCCCGTTCGGGGTCCCGCAGTCCCGCCGCAGCTCTCACTCACCCTGCTGGCCCCCCTCGCCGCCGCCGCGTCCGAGCCACACCCCCGAAGAGCAAGGGCGGAGCGGGACTCGCCGCGCCCAGCCGGGACTGCCCGGACGCCTGCACCCCCGCCCGGGCTGAGCGGGGAGGAGAGGCGGTGCAAGGGCGCGGGAGCTGCACTCCAATCCCTCGGGAAGCCGAGAGACAGCAACAGGAGTTTGCAAATGGTTGTGTGTTTTTTAAAAAGTGTGTCGTGTTTCTGCGCTATTTGTGATTTCAAAATAAAAGGGATTTTGCATTAATGCCCAGCACACCTTTTCCCCCCACAGTGTCTTCAAAGGCCAGCGGTGGTCTGGTGTCTCTGTTGGTCATTACACATAGTCATTACACAGGAGTTGTCTCTGACCGGCAAACACCAGTGATAGCTCTCATTGCACACACGAATGTTTTTTCCAACCTAAATGATTCTCGGAATATCCTCAAAACCTCTCTTTGAGAGTAAAGCTACTGGGCCAGGCTTAGGTCTTTAGGCACTACAGCTCTTACCCCAGCCACAGGCAGTCCTGTGTGTATCCCAGCTAACAAATGCATGAAAATTTTCCAGACAAGGTTACTTGCACTGTAGATCATACATTGTTTTGGGTTGGAAGAGACCTTAAAGATCATCTAATTTCAGCCCTCCAGCTGTGGACAGGAATGCCTTTCACTAGACCAGGTTGCTTGAAGTCTCATCCAACCTGGCCTTGAACACTTTGAAGAATGTCCCTCAACCTCTCTGGGCAACCTGTTCCAATGCTTCGCTACCCTCTGAGTAAAGAATTTCTTCTTAATATTGAAACTAAACTTAACATCCTTCAGCTTAAAGCCATTCCTCCTTGTTCTATCAGTACATGCCCTTATAAAAAGTCCCTCTCCAGCTCTCTTGTGGGCCCCTTTTAGATACTGGAAGGCTGCTATAACGTTATCCTGGAGCCTTCTCTTCTCCAGGCTGAACAACCCCAACTCTCTCTGCCTTTCCTCATAGGAGAGGTGCTCCATCCCTCTGATCATCTTCATGGCCCTTCTCTGGACTCACTCCAACAGCTCCATGTCTTTCCTGTGCTAGGGACCCCAGATCTGCACACACAGCACTCCAGGCGGGTCTCACGAGAGCAGAGTAGAAGGGCAGAGTCACCTTCCTCAACTTCCATCCCTGGAGATGGAGGCTGGGAAGCACAGCTTCAGTACTGGGTTCACTAAGGTTGCGTTGAAGTGATCCCCCTTGCTGGTCAGCAGCCACTGGAGAGGAGGCCTAGCTTCTGTGATGACAGCAGCTCAGGAGCCAGGACACAGCACTGCTGTGGGCACCAGGAATCCCTCTCCTTCCTTCCACACTAAGAAATAACCAGCCATGGGGTGCAGCTGTGTCTCTCCTGAGTGCTGTAGTGCTTTTAAAAGAATGGATTACAAAATCCCATCATCTTGAATTCTACCAAATACATTTTAATATGCTGAACATTAAGGCAGTCAAGATTAATACCAAATCCTCTATAAAGTTACAAATAAAAAGATAAAATATAATAACATTTCATAGTAATTATATAAAACCATATATTGTTCTTGTTATCCTGGTAGTGATTTTTTAGTATGATTTGCTTACATGAATTTCAAGTTCAGACATTTAAAGCAAAAATTCATTAACTAGCAAGTAGGAAAAATTTACTAGCAATTAACTAGCAAGTAGCAAAAATTCATTAACTAGCGACTAGATTCTTAGTTAAGTCTACTTGAATTTTCTTCCTTAAAAAAACCCGAACAAACTATAAAATGCTTACACATTACCTGTTTGATAAGATGTAATGGGTGATCTTTTAACTTACTGCTCACTGTTACCTGAGATCAAAGGACCACTGTAAAGTCCCTCTCAAAGTTATTCTCCCTATGAATTGAGAATGGAGGCCTATCTACACATTTTAGTTCTGAAGGAAAAAAAAACCACTGAAAGCACAACATGGGAGTTTTTTCCTTTGTATATCAAATCAACAAATTTGAATGAACAAAATGAAGGAACAATTTGTTAGAGGAGCCAAAAAATAATAATTAAAGGAATGTTACTCTTTTTTAAGCAAAAATCCAGGACATACCTATCAAATGTGAAGAAAATGGGTGTGTTATGTGGTTAGATGTGGAGAGAATCAGATGGCTTCAAAGTTTTTTTGTGCAACTTGAACATCTAATTTTAAAGCTATAGTTCAGGAGCTGATACATCTCTATTGGAGATATATCTGTATAGCAACATATGTGACAGAAGAAGACAATTGTACCAGAGCACTACCATGTTCTAAGTATATTTAATTTATAGACCTCCACATAGTCTGCTCAGCTAAATCACATTGTGTTGCTGTGTGCTATTAGTTTTCTATAATAGAAAGGGATCTGTTATACCAGCATTGTACAGAGCACTCTGAAATGGGTCTGTGGCTATGTGAAGTATTGCGTAGTCTGTGAACTTCATCCCATCATTAAATATTACCACTGGTGTCCATGTAATCCTGCAGGGTGAGCTGATGCCTGCGGTGTTAATAAGGTGCTTGCACAATAACTGTTTCTTAGGTTTAGGCTTTTGAAGTATTGTGTTACCCTAAAAGACTTCCATGCATTTCCCAGCTGGGTTGTATAGACTAGCTTAAGCATGAAACTGGACAAGGACGTACATTTCCTCTGTCTACATTATGTGTAGGCAAAAAAAGCTGAGGCAGGAAATCTATATTCATAAGGTTGAAATAGGTTTGTCTTAAGGGAAAAAACATAAGAATAAAAACCTTTAGAGCTGATGGGGGAAAGAAAATAATAAAAAGAGATGTGTTATCCTTTCGCACATCAACTAGGGAGCACTTCACTGGGCATGGGGAGACCATTTAGAGCTGCTAGTATGTTTTCAACTGCTTCCTCTGTTATCATGTAAGTGGTCTTGTCTGTTTTAATGCCGAGGTGAGGCGTTATAATGACATTCTTTAATTTTAACAAAGGATGATCTCTGGAAAAAAAGAAAAAAAGAGTTGTTATCTACTGTTGTTCATCCAAATATAGAGGACTCCTACTTTAGCTTTTGCACTTTATTTGAAGTTAATTTGATATAACAAGTCCCACTTAGAACCACAGAACCTGATCACCTGTGCTGAAGTAATTTTGGACTGTAAGAGGACATGTTAAGAGTTTATACTGTACTCTTTTCTCCAGAAACAGATTTTTGCCATTAGGCAGCAATTCAAACTACTTCAGAAGAGAGGATTAAGTCCCCCTGACATATTCACACTACACAATGGTCTGAGCTTTAGTTATTCATTCCCACACAGGCATAACAAGACCAAACTCCTCCCAAACCCAAAATGCAGCCAGCGCAATTAACTCTGAGAGGCACCATCCTGGTAGAGGCATCTTTTAACAGAAGCCAAGCAGCCTCTGGGCCCAAGAGGGCTACAGTACTTCAGCCTCATATTGTGGAAGGAAGCCTGTGGGGAAGGACATCTGGGGGCAATGCAGCAGGTCTCAGAAGAGATGGCTGAAGCAGCTTTCACACATTCATGGCAAGTTGCACCTTCTAATAAAGCAATTTGCAAGTGAAGCACTGCTGCAGCTTCACAGGGTGATTCTACAGAGGTGGTCTAATGCTCTCCCTGCCTCCTGTTGTTTTCTGGCACCCAGGCTTCCCCTTGGCCTGTTATCAGCCCCAACATCTGGTCTGCATTCCATTCATATTCATGGCACTTTTATCCAAACCCCCATCCCACGGTGGCTGCCTCTACCATATCCCTGCCTGCTGCAGGGATATCTTCAGCCTCGGCAGGGCTCACCCATCCTTTCCAAGAAATAAGCAGAGATGACAACCTGGGCAGTGGTTCTGGGTAGGTTACATCCAAAGCCGCGGCCCAGATAACACCAGTCTGCAGAGCCATCACCAGCGCCTCTTGGTCAACTACTGCACCTGGTTTGGAATAAGAGTGTCTCTGAGTGCAACTTGTGTTGCAGGTAATGAGCTCAGAGTGAAAGGAGAACGAAAGAGGAGAGAGAGGAATTTTTGCCATGCCCACTCTGTCCTCACTACGTGCACCACCTGCGCAGTGGCTGCAGCACAGCGCTGTGTGTAACACAACGGGAGCTGGCCAATGCTTTCTGGCCAGTCAATTGTTCTGGAGGGTACCTCGGCTGATGTTAACCAGAGTAGCTGTGGGTTTCATTAGCTCCAGCTCTCTTTTCCCAATCAGGTTGCGTGTCTGAGGTGTCAGGTTCACCGCCAACATCACAAAATCTGCCTGCTGGAGTAAGCTGTCTATCGTTTCGCAATAAGTGGCACCAACAGCTTGTTCCTCTTGCGCTTTCCTAGTGGGAGGAAAAGTAGTTCAGGGCATCAGTCATGAAAATATTCTCTTCATTGATGTCACCACTGTACAAACTAAAGGATCTGATTATCACATCCATGTAGCAAATAGGTGGCAAATTTAGGCTCAGCTGGATGTTTAGACCCTTCTGGAACGCTTCAAGCCCTACAGCAGGGGATGGATTGCATGCCTGCCTCTCAGCCACTGCAGTGCAGAGTCCAGGGGCTTCTTATAAAGTCTGCAAATGGACTAAGGCTAAGCACTGGAGCAGATGGCAGCACATGGTCCATTCTCCAGGATTCCCAGTGGGGAAGGTGCTCAAACCAGAGCAGTGTTATTCACCAGAACTCATCCATGTAAGCTCTGAGGATGCTGGTGGTCCTCATCCTTACCCTCAGTAAGCCTGTCATTTTTTCATAAGTGAAATCAGCGAGGCAGCTCTTATCCAGGCTTCTGGCTGCCCCAGGATTTCTACAGAGTTAAGTGTTCAGCAGAAAAGTTATCAAAGTAGAGAGAGATTTTTAGTTTTAATTTTTCACAATAAAAAGGAATACTTGCTATTTCTCCCATTCTTTGTAAATTTAGCTTCTTGAACTTTGGGACCTAAAGAAGCAATGACAGGAGATCCTGTGTACAATTTTCTGCTCCTGATTGTAAGAGAAGGGCTTTGAGTTATTTCCTCCCTAATCTAGAAATAAAGAGGTCACACTAAGAAAATATCTTCAGAACTTTGGATCATGTGTCTCCTAACACATGCACTTCATTAGTTTCTTTCAGTGTACAGGTCAATAACCTAAGAATACGTAGGAACAGAACAGACTGGAACTACAGCCAATTTTGCAGCATGCAGAATGCATCTTGATTCAACACATAAGCTTGAAGTGTAAAGGTACGTTAAAATAAAAAGGGTTTTAATTTCTGTTGCACTGCGCATTGATCATTCATCACAGCACTCTTACATAAATATTACTTTAAAAACTGAAAAATATTAAACAGAGTGAGTTAGTGATGATCCACAGGGAAAAAAAAAAGAGTTGTGCCTTTTGTTGTATTTGTTTTGAGTGGTTTATGAAGAAATTCTGAAAGATCTTAAGGAGGGTGTTCACTAGTACTTTTTTTAATGTGAGTTTGCTCAGCTGTTTTTCTGAGTAACAGAAATGCCAAGCAAGGCTAAAAATTTCTGGCCTCATTCACCCTTCTGATTTGACTAGGGCTAGCTAGAGCAGTGACCCTCCTTCTGCAGTCTGCATATGGAGAGAATCTCTGAAAGCCACATGTCCTAGCATTGCAGCTTCTCCCTTCAGTCAGAGGGAGTAAAGTTCTCTCAGGGTAGGTCATGGTTTGTTCTGCTTGTTGTCTGCACCTTGACTGATTGGAAGGGCCTCAAGTTATATATGGGGATCTTGCTTGCTTAACAGTGAAGAGTCCTTGTGCTGAATCTTTAACAAGGATCAGATTCCCAGACTCACAGGTTAGGAGGGGCTAAAAATAAAAGGTGAAATAAGGTTAAATACTTGCTAAAATGGCTTGAGGAGAAAGGGTTTTCTCAAGAATAGCTCTCAAGTTAATCAAATTGTGCCAAGTATATGTTTCTTAGTTTTCCAGACACTGAGTTTCAACAAGATCCCTCAAAATATGCAGTAAAAATAAACAAAAGGTAGAGTTATGTGTCACTATAGTATGATATGATAAGAATAAAAAAAAAAAGTACAAGCTTGATTTCCATTTTTCTGCTCATATCTGCAGGAAACCTTGAAATTTCTAATATAAAACCTCAATTAAGTTTCCAAGTGTTTAATCACCAAGTAACTCTTTACAGGACTGATTTAAGGCAACCATTCTCTTTTTTTTTTCCTTTTGTTTCAATCTTGGCCCTATTCCCTCAGTTTTTGCTACACTTCTGACATAATTCCTTGAAAAGAAAATACTGGCCACCTAGAAGAGAGTTTCTGCTGCACTTAAGGTCAGGACATATATTTACCTCTGTGTCCTGTTGTGGTACAAAATCTTCATTTCAAATGCTTTGGCTCTCAGAGCAATCTTATATCCAATGCGGCCCATGCCAATGATCCCCAGAGTAGCTCCAGAAATTTTAACTCCCAGAATATCAGCTTCACAGTAATCCATACTTGAAGAAATTGCAATGTGATGGACTGCAAGAAAAATACTCAAATATGAGAAGTGAATGGAGTCCAACACAGAGGAACAAGGCAAAAGAATCTGAACTTGTTGTGCTACTACAGCACACTTGTAATGATTACAAACACATGATTTTGTAATGCCCTAGGTAACTCCCTAATATATCATCTTTCCCTCCTACCTGTATATATGACATTCTCATTTATTCTTACTATACTACAAAAAGCCTTTTGATGTAAGTTCTCCCAAAAATCCTTTTACTGTTTTAGACTCATGAAAATATTGCCCTGTTCTTCATCAACAATCAAAATAATTATTGCCAATAACAATGCAGAGTTTGGAAATGTCACATGGAGAACACCACCAGATATTTGGTTTCCTTATTTAGAATGAGAAGAGGTTTCCTGTTCACATCTGTCACTCTGCTTTGAAAGAAAAGTGCAACTGCTTTAAAAATCACTGCGGTAATTTCCATAATTACCTGTTAAGCCTGCACAATTTTGGATAGTTCTACGACACATAAAATACAGTTATATACACAAAGTCAGCACTTATTAATCTGCTAGGAAGATGACAAGCTTGTGATACTTCAGTCTTCTGATATTGCCAGCTTATCTAGAACATAAGCGGAATGTTGTTAAAGTATAAAAAAAAAAGACTCAGGGGAAAAAAATTCAGTCATGTGAGGGCAGAGCTGTCAGAAATGCCACCAGGGATAGTTTACGTAGAAGGGAACAAGGAATTAATCTCCCCTTTAATCTGTCTCCTCCTAAACAGATTTAGAGTGAGACAACCTTCCTCTGAGTTTCTACGAATGCTGTGGTGCAGGATTTGGCAAGTCAAAGTCAGGTAAATTCAATAGGATAAACCTGGGGGATCTTTTCCTGAAGCAGGAGGCATTCTAACAAAGGCAAGAGTAGGTCTTTTTGGGGAAATAGCAAGAAAAAATTGTTGAAGAAACTAGAAAGGATGTTATAAGCAGAAAAGGGAGCAGGCTGCTTTATTACTCTCTATTGCCCCTTAAATGCCCCAATTCTGCACCAATCCATTTCAGTCCCCAAGAATATGCCCATGCCTCTATCAGCATTGTGGATCCCTTCCAACTTGTTATTATTCTATGATTCTATATACCCTTGCTCTGCTTCACTGTTGTCTCAAACATTAATTTATTCTGCCAGCCTGTGGCTCCAGCGATTGTCTGATCTTTGGCATCTCCCTCTTTTGGTTATAGCATTGTAACACTGTCACATTGAAAAGCACATCTTATGTCGGTCAAATGTCATAGTCACTGAAAATGCACTGCTGCAGAAGGTAATGGAATTTAAAGGTTTTGTATGTAGAAAGCACATATCAGTGTGCTGTTCACCTGAAACTGTTAAATTAATTCTACAGCCATACTTATTTTAAAAACTAAATTCCAGTTTCTAGGAACACTTGGTCCATAAAGCAGGAAGTTGTATTTAAATTAATGTGATTAGATTCTGGTCAAGTATTTACAACCCTGTGAAAACTAAATTCATATGATTTTATTTATATGTGGTTGAAATATAGGTTATGTATGTCTATGTATAATGTAACAATTTAAGTACATTTATCATACTTAATTCACATTTTATGTGAAACTATGTGCACTACACATAACTCTATAAGAAAATTCAAGTTAATGGTAGGTAAATCTTGTATGACTTTTAGAAGTCACAAAAGAATTGAGATGTTACCTTCCACTAGTCTTCTAGCAGATGCTAGCAGCAAAGCCATCCCAGCATCTGCTGTGCTGCTGGAAACAGCACGTGGAGCATTAGCCATCTTCACACCAAAGCTAGCTATAAGTTTCAGATCCAGGTGATCCATCCCCACTCCTGAATTCGCAATCACTTTCAAGTTTGGCAGGCTCTGGAGGAGCTCTTGGTCAATGACTGGTTTGTGCCACCACAGATAGATTGCTTGGACCTTTCTGCTTAAATGCTTCCTGTTTTCAACCAATTCCTTCATGGTGATGAGGTAGAAATGTTTCCTCAGGAATGCCACATGGCTGTGCAGTATCCCACGTATGCCACCGATTTCATTTACCAAAAGCCCAGGTAGTTCTCCTCCTTCCATGATCTGCACAAAAAAGAATGACACAAATCATCAGAAGACAGACATGTAATTATTTCTAGACATTTTAAAGAATAATCGCTGTCATGTCCTGTTTCATGACATCTATAGCAAGAGATCCTATAAACCATGTATTTAGATAGGAAAGTAAGCAAAGCAAGACAAGAAAGCAGCTCTTTTCAATATACATACTATGTATGTCACATACATACATACATGTGTACACACACACACACACACACGGATATTCACACAATCAGGCCTGAACAAGTTCTGCCCTCCGTGGTCTCCAAGATTTCATATTACTGCTACCATGCTCAAAACACAACAATTACTTCTCATCAATTACTTAGCTTCAGACCATCAACAGTCTGGTGCAATAAATCTCCTTTGCTACCCCGAAATCAAAAATTACCTTGTCTAAGTAGTTTAGAAAAATGTCAGACCAAATCTAGTTCATGAAAATAAACTGCACACTTTCATCATGAACTTTGAGTTACCAGGTTAATTTTTAAATGCATCATTGCAGAGATTTTTGCAGTCTCCAGTCCTGGGAGATCCCAGTGACTGCAGTGCCTTCTCCTGAGCCTATCATAAATTAACATAAATTAACACTTGCTTAGGCAAGTGTTTTCTGAGAAGGACTTATGCACTCAAAACTAGTTGATACTTTTGGGGTTTTTTCAGGAATCACTGACCATCTGGTTTTGGTTCCCAGAGGGTCTGTGAATTGACAGTTGCTTTTTTTCATTTGTTTGGGGGCTTTGTTTGTTTTTGGTTTTGTTTGGTTGGTTTGTTTGGGTTTTTGTTGTTGTTGTTGTTGTTGTTTTAAATAGACTATTTATAGCTGCTTTGATTTTCTACAGCAATCTTGGGAAGAGTGGGGGGTAGAGTGTTCAAGGGCTGAAGACCTTGGAAACCCCTATAGCAATACTTTCTGTTGCCTTGTTAGTAGTATTTCAGTATTTGCATTTGAATGTCTAATTCTTGGGTCTGTCTACACTTCCTGTGCTAAAACTTCATTTTACCATTCCTTCAAGAAGCCTGACCATATTGAAAATAACAAAAAAGCTTCCTGACTTTAGGGGGTGACAAACACTTTACTGAATTTTCTGACTTTGTTGCTTGCTCCTAGGAAAGAGAATGTAATAAAAAGCTTGGCCCCGGGCTGCAAATTAGGACTGACCACTTATTTCTCTTTAGGCTGTGCTCTCACCTATGTGATTTCAATGCTAGTTCACCATTGTTTCATGGCCAGTCAAGATAAAAGCATCAATTTTTGTCTTCCTGGAGGAACAAAATCTCCTGGGATTTACTTTGTTTTTCAAAGGATCACCTCAGGAAAATCAAAGACACTTTTTGAATGATTGTCATTGCTTTAACATGTAGATGAAGCAGAATTCTTCTTACATTAGGAAAAATTTAGGCCTACAATTACTTCAAAGGACATTTCTTCAGTGTTTTGGTATAAAAATAGAATATTGCAATATTGGCTGAAAAATGTGTCAGGATACAGTCAAATTTCTGCAGAGAATTAAAGCTCATTCATCTTTAATAGATTTCAGAGCATTATACAAACTGCTTGGTGTACTTGCTTATCATTCTGTAGCAGCAAGTACTGGGAACAGAACAAGGGTATGCAACACCCCAATTTTGAAGCCTCAGGTTCAACTGGGAATATTACTTCTATTTAAGGCTTCAAAAGAACCAAACTTTTAAAAAGGCTTTAGTTCGTTATTACCTCGAATTCATGCCCAGAGGAAACAGTGCCATGCTTTCTCTAAGGGAATTTCTTTCAACTTAGTGAGAAAATAAACATTTCAGTAAAAGGTTTTACAGGGATAGTGTATAAACAAGGCAGGAGTATTTCACCAAACACCCAGCACAAAGGTCCAGTCCACAAAAGCACCCCTACAAAGTAACCAGTACACCAGCTTAGTAAACACGAGTAATTGGTTCTAAGTTACTCAAGGAAAATTACAGTAAAGGAAAAAGTTAAAGAAGAGTAAAGGAAAGAGTAAAGGAAGAACAGAGATTAATAAGAATAGAGAAAGAGAAGAAAGAGAATAAGAGAAAAATAGTTACAGCCGAGGATCCGATGGCTCACACAAGGCCAGCCAGAAGAGAAACACCCCCACAGAGTGAGCCCCGTGGTCCCGCATTTATAAGGTTCGGCCAGCATGGTCAAGCCTCGCAGGCGGGACATGCAGGTCATTGACCACTCAGTACCCCCTGGCCAGAGTGACGTGTGCTGGAGGCAATCACAGGCTCCAGGGGGCGTGGTGCGGGCTACGTGTGTCCTTTTCGGTGGACAGCTGCCCCACGCAGGCGTCTGGTGCTGCCAAGTGCTTTCTGAGGGCGGCCCTGACCTTGTCCCCCAAGGCCCAGCCCTTCCCCACTCCACTCCCTCACAGCGACTTGCCTCCGACCCACATAAAAATGTTACATATTCCAGTGAGATTTGAATCCAGTACATCGCAGAGTATTCACTAACAGACTGAGGATATCAAAGTGCATCTGCTCAGTTAAAATCTTCAAACAAATATCTTTTATTGGTTCTATATTATTTTTCAGACTTGGAAATAACAGTACAGATCAAGTCCAGTGAGATGACAGTTTTGCAGTATCACGACAAGCAGTGCAGGAACAGGTTGCTTTTTTTTTTTTTAGTTTAAAAGTGGTACTGTAAGAAATAGTGTCTTCCTATACACAGGAGATTTAGTGGTATCATCTGGCACACATCATTTGGGAAACACTTCACTTGGAATGGGTTGGCCATTGAGAACAGCCAGTATATTTGCTATTGCTTCTTCTGCCATCATATGGATAGCTTGGACTGTTGCAGTTCCAATGTGAGGGGTTATGATGATGTTATTTAATTTTAATAGAGGGTGATCTCTGTAAAAAACAGAAAGAACAGAATGTGTTACACAGAGAACTTACTTTGCTGCTATCCTATGCTAGCTGTGAGAAAGGGAACCTTGGGAAACAGCAGCGGCATGTTGAGACAAAAGGGCCACAAGCACAGAACTAGCAGAAAGCTGTGAGAAGCTTGCTTACCCATTTCTTTTTTCTCTGTTGGTCTTGTTGCCTTGCCTGTCAGTTAGGCTGGCAAAGAACTGACAGATGTGGGAAAGGTGAATACTTTGTCATTTATTTATGATTGTGTGAGATAGGCTGAGGTTTTGCCCTTATGCAGTGAGAGAGGCTCGCTGGGGAGATCAAGATTATGACAGCACTTTGCACAAAGTTTGAAACATTTCAGATTAAAAGAATGGGAAACAGGTTTCTTTACCTTGGCAGAGGCTCAGGGTATGTCACATCCAGAGCTGCAGCCCTAATAACCTTACTCTGGAGAGCTTCTACCAACGCATCTTGATCAATAACTGCACCTGTATTGAAATGAAATCTTGGTATCACAATGAGTTAATGAACATATTTTTATGGGGAGTAAGGAAACTGTGATGGTTTCACTCTAGGCCTTCCTGGAGACCAGCTTGTAACCAGGAAGGAACTAGTTAAGTGATCACGGAAGTATTCCATGCTATTCCTTTATGTAACTTGAGGTATAAATAAAGCCAGCAGGAGGGACCTCGCTCTCTTCCTTTCCGGCGAGGTTCAAGAACGGTGGGTCCCTGTCTCGGTCTGGCTTATCTGGAGCTGAGGCCTACAGTGACTGCTGTTATCTGCCATGTGTGAGGGGAGAGCGCTGGGCCGTGTCGAGCCATTCTGCCTGTTCGAAGGCAAGTGGTGAGATTTTGCTAATTTACCTTCAGTTGGCTGGTTGACTTGTTTGGTCTTTGTCCCTTTTTGTCCTTTTCCCTTCTCCCTCCCCCTCTTCCCTTTTTGGGGAGCTGTTTGGGATTTCTGTAGTTGTGGTGTATAGCATTCTCATTGTATATATCTGTCTCATATGTAAAATATATATATATTTTTGCTATAGCTTTGGCTGCTTAAGTCGTTTTTTCCTCTTCCCTCTCTGGGAAGCAGGTCCTTGTTGTCGAGTTTCGGGGACTTGGCGGGAAGCCAGCTCGAAACTTGCACAGAAACGTCTCAAGGGTCTAGTGAAAAAAATTAGAGGATCTGCATCTTGTTCAAAAGCAGAATGCCTTTCTAACAACCATTAACCAAACAAACCAGCGATTTGATTTATTAATCTTTAATTACAGAATGATTATGGTCCACTGCATGAGGTGCTTCTTGGGATGAGACTAGTTTCAGTCTTTTCCTCATTTTGACACTTCCTGCATTATTACAGAAAAATCATGTAATCTCTTCATGCTTTCCACTCTTTTATCTCTGCTTTGTTTACTGAAACTATAATCTTTCTCATATGCTTGTTCAGTGCCAACAGATCTGACATCCCTTTTGAGGCTTCCTTTCTACAAGCTATTCCAAATGTTACATAATGTTTTCCCTTGTACCCCGTTCATCCTTGCTTAAGAAAACCTTTCGGTTACTTCCACTAAAAACCCTGTCTTTAGGATAAGGCTAAAGAGAACTGAACATCTGCTGAGCATCCCTAATTTCCACAGGACCTTTGAACACATAGCATATGGTCCACGATAAGTCGCTCATTTGTAGACTGCCAGCTACTTCATGAATCAAACAGAGTATCACAGACTGAGCTTGGAGAGGGGAATGTCAACATAATTAAATAAAACACAACTTTAAGTGTGGAGCCACAAACAGTTACTTCAGATCATCCTACCTCGGCTGATGTTTATAAGAGTAGCTGTGGGTTTCATCAAACTCAGCTCCTTTTTCCCAATCAGTCTGTGAGTCTCAGGAGTCAGGTTCACAATCAACATAACAAAGTCAGATTGTTGCAGCAAGTCTTCCATCTTCTCACAGTAGTGGGCACCAACAGCCTCTTCCTCTTCCTTTCTTCTGAAGAAAAAATGCACAAACCCCCAAACTGACGCAACTATTTCTAACTGGCTTCAACAATCAATTACCCCAGGAGAGATCCAGAACAGCACAGAGACTGAGAGGTTTAAGGACAAGTTTAAAGGAAAAGACATTGATAGATGCAGATAGTGGAAGGGAGGCAGGAAGGATGTGGGCTAGAGGAAGCAAGAGGCTAGACAAGTGGTGGGACACTGAAGGAGTGATGCATGCAAAGCACACGGGTGATATTAGGTATAGGAGGTTGGGGATGTAGTCAGATCCCACTCTTCTCTTCTGTGTCCATGCCAATCCCTGTGGAGTGTTTCCTTGCCTGACATGTGAGTTAGGACTTGTGGTTGAAAAGAAATGAAGAGGAAGTGAAGTGTGAAAGAAAGGAAACTACAAATCTGTGAGAAATTAAGACCTTTGTCTTTGGTGCTGGTGTGATGAATGATCAGGCTAGGCTGAGGAGACTGGCTGGCTGGGGGGAACAGGGATGCTGCCAGAAGCCTGAAGAGGAGTCTGAAAGGACAAGGGACACCACAAGGGCACAAGGCCTGGTTTGCTTGGACAACATCTTCAGAAAGGGTACACGGCCCTTGTTCCAAACTGCTAATGTCTTAACCAGGG